GGCCGTTACGCCTGGCAGCATTTCATTTCAGCCATCGTGGGCGGTGGTGGCCGCCCGCAAAAGTATCTGTCAGATACACATGCAAGCTCACCGAATTGCGGCCTATGGAGAGCAGCCTCACTTTGTTTGCATGCCAAGTGTAGCGATTTGAAAGCGTTTAGGTGCGCGAGTGCCTGCAGTCTTTTTACCTAAAATTACCGTCTAAAAAAATCAATGCTAAGACATGTTAGCCATGCCAAGAGCTTGAAATGGCCTTGGGATGCGTTAACCGAACGACCTTGGCTAATTTAAGTGCAAAACCCAAGAGGGTCGCATGCAGGTCGCGTGTTCGGCACCGCTGCGCATGCGCAGAGCCACCATCGCACACTCCCCTGCCCCTTGTGACCGAGCTAAATTGAATTCCACCTGTTTGTCGCTGCAATTAAGCCGGCCAAGCCCTGAAATGTGGGCGCGTCCGGGGTAAATAATGCAGGTAAATGCGATAAAACAGTTTATTAATTACCGCAATCGTCCCGAGTGGCCACTCTCGACCGTAGAAAGTCCCATGGGTCCGTCGCCGTCCCTCCTGGACACTTACAGCCAAATGTAAATTATCTTCTAGTCCAGAGAAATTACAATTCCACTCACACCCGGGCCAAGACCACAGAGACATGGCCAAGTGAAGGGCTTGTCATGAGGGCTGCCGCTTAACCAATCGTTCAAACACGACTGTCTGTATCTATATATACGATATATATATATGATAATTTACCTATAGCAAGACCCGGCTATGTACAACTTTCTCTCGAGTGCCTTCAATGGTTTTTCCAGCCAAGAGTCAAAGTCAAATGGAAATCCTCTTCAACGGCAAAGTTTTTCGGTGAAAAATGCAAACAAACGGTTGGCAATCGGCCAGCTCAAATCGAATCCCAGTCCCTGAGCAGTGAATCTTCGGTGTCTGTCTGTCAACCATTACAATATATCCGATGATGCAAGCTCGTAAAAATCTGATTGGACTGATTGATTGGGAGGGGAAATGCAAATGTCCGACAATGCGTTTCGGTACTGTAAGGGAGGTAGTACTCACTAATGAAAAACAAACAAGTTTTTCCTCAAGAAATCATTGTTATTTTAAATTGGTTTCTTGTTAACTTTACATTTGATCCACCTTTGGCTTTTAGTTTAAGTATTACTCGGTAAAAAGTCAGCATGTTTTGATAACATTTTAATTAAACTGTTCTGTGTTTAAATTTGTTAGTTAACTGAAGTTAGATCTTTAAATTAGTTCCAATAAATAAAAATTAATTTTATTATCCCAAGAAATAACTACAATTATTTTTAACTTAGCTCAATGGTTTGTGCACAATTGAATCATTAAAATAAGTTAATCGCAAGTCATAAACAATTTAATGACTGAAATGAAAAAAACCTTGTTTTAATCATTTAAAAGAAGTCTTGTTTATATTTTTATGTGCACTTAAAAAAGGTTATTATACCACAACATAAGGGACTTAAGGGATTTCAATCTATGCCATGTTTCTTATCATCACTTAAATGTATTTGACTTAGTATATATATATAAATAATAAATTTAATAAGCAAAGGCAGCCCCAAAAACCTCTGAAATCCGGGGATGTAAGTGATTTTCTGTTGTGAAACGGACTGTCTCTGGGTCCGCACCTCTAACCCACATGCGATACTTTCGATCTGTTCACTTACCGTCGACAGCAGACAGCGGGACTCGCGCATAGCCCCCAGATAGCCCAAGAAGCTCATGAAGAACATGACGGCTCCGATGACGAGGAGCACATAGGCCAGCTGCTCTATGGGCTGCGGCTGTGTAAATTGCTGCAATAAAAACAAAGCGGACAGAAACAGATGGTCAGAAATGTGTGGGTAATTGCAGATGATGTCTGCCCTGCGTATACGTAATTAAACTTTGAACTGGCCAAAAATTGTCTTCTTCCTCAATCATGTAATTGAATTATACGCATATTTTCTCTAATTGTCGCAGGCAAATTTAAAGATCTAAGATATAAGTTTTTAAACTACTACAACTACACTCTGCAAGTTCATTGACCAACCCATGGCATATTTCAACACACATAGTTCCTGGTAAAGCTTCTCAATTAGTTTCTGCATGTTTATCCTAGGTGAGCCCACAATTAGTCCCCGTGTGGACATGCACTTTTCATTTGTTTTTCCGAAGCGAAAAACCCTTTGCGCTCAGTGAGATAGCACATTGTATATAGATGGGGGTTTCATACAAACTTTAGTTAACGCTGAACATGCAACTTTTGATGGAATTTGTCATAGTTTTAGGTTAGTTGAAAAAGTTTATTTGTGTGGATTAGCTTAAAGTCTCCTTGAGAGTGGGTAGCGCCGCTTTAAACCACGATTTGTACACTTTAAAAAGTTACGAAAAAGGTACTGTGAATAAAGTATACGTGTTTTTAAAATTTAAAACCTATTTTGGTCTTGATTTTGCTACATTGGTCCTAAAATATTCGAAGTTTTTAAATTTACTATGAATTTTGGAACCACTTTTAAGATTTGAGACCCTTAAATAATTCTAACATTCCAAGAAAAAACAGGGCAAAACTTAAAGTTCCGCCTTTAAAGCTCTCTAAATTACTATATTCCACTACTATCAATTCCATTGTATTTTTTAGTGCCTTATATAGAGTGGGGAGTCTATTATTTCAACCCAATTACACAGTGGCATTAAAAACCTTCCCCTATGGTTAGACAGTATGTCAACACAATGCATCGTGCAGTTTGATTAGCTTTTTTGTGGCTTACTCTGGCCATTTCCCCCCCGAGCCACATTCATGTTTACAATATAATTATATTTTGTTTAATAATCATAGTTCCAGTGCCCGCGATTATTGGGGAACACCTGCACGTGAGGTTGATCTACATTTCGGGGTTGATTTACTACGAGTTCGATATGTGAATTACACACTTCGATGGGTTGCGTATAAATTGCGTTATAATTGGAATGGTGGAATGCAGCGGTTACTTGGGGCTTTCGAAGGGGGTGTTTCCGCGGCAACACTTTCACCCGGAGTTGGGCGGGTATACGGGGGATTTTGGATACCCCTTGGTCTTACCTCAATGCGCTCGCTCTCGACCAACTTGAGGAGAGCAATCAGCGAGTGCTTGTCCACGGCCAGCCATAGTCCGATGCCGAATATAATTGTGCCTAGCACCTGCAGAAGACGATACAAAAAAATTCATAAACATCTGTGTGTACAGGTAGCGCTTATTTCTGTGTTTACAGTGAAACATAAAGCATAAAACACAAAAACACAATTCCCCCCGCTGGACATGCAAACGCAGTTTGATGATTGTTATTATTATGACGTTGCCTGCCCATGTTGATTGCATTCGAAAATGCCGATGATGAGGTTTGGCAATCAAGATGATGAGGATGATGATGATGATGATGATATGACGGCTGAAAGTCAATGAACCGTCGAGCCGCCGAGCTGAAAATGCGGGAAAAAGCCGAAGCACCAGCGCATGCGCATGCGCAGAGATTTGCTTGATTGAGTTGCAATGGAATTTGATGGGATGGTATGGGATGACATGTACCAACGATAGGTGCGTCCAAAGATATATCTTTTACACTGATAAAAAAATGGAATAGTACATTTAAATATCCGCATATTGAATCAAAAATTTCATATTTCGTATTTAATTTAAATACAAAAAACATTGTATTAAATACGAAACATATTAAATTGCATAGTTTAATACTAAAATATTTAAATCAAAGAAGAGACTATTTAATTTAAATTTGTTTATATTTATTTTTAAAAATATTATATTTATCGTTAATATTTTCAGAATTAAAAAAATCCGTATTTAAATTAAAAATGTTTCATATTAATTTTGAGTATTCAAATTATTTTATTTTAAAGTTTTTAATATTTAAAATAAAAATGTTGGTAATAATAATATAGAAAGTGTCAATTTGAAAGGGTTTTTCAATGTTTATATCAAATAAAAACACCTCAAGAAGATATCTTTTATATTTACGTACAAATTAATTAATTAAAATGTATTTTATTTGTACTATCACATTTAAATATGTTTCATATTTAAATATTAGTTTCTGCCATGTCCGTTTTTAAGTACGATAATATTTAAAATAAATATTTTAAGCTGACTTTAACAAAAAGATTTATTTCATAAACTGTATACTCATGTCCATACATTTGTTCAGACCAAACATTATACATTTTTAAAAACAAATTTATATACATTAAAGTAAATTGACATATGTACATATGTGTGTACTTATGTAAATGGGCAGAACAAAAACGGAGGCGCTAAGATAATTTTTGGCGGTTTTTTTTTGTTCTATCCTACACACATTTGTTCGCGTTTGCTTTGATCAATGACTCTTCTTCTTGATCACTAAACGACGCGTGTTATTGAAGAGTTGCAGCCGAAGAAGTTGGACGTGTCGTGTCTTTATAAAAGTGAAGTTGGCATACAAATATAAAATTAAACTTGATCGCGCTATCAAAAAATCATGTGAAGTTTCTTTAAATAAATAAGTGTGTATGTTGGCAGCAACATTCAATGCCAAAAAGTACATTTTTGGCAGCATGTCTTTTCTTTAAACTGTATTCGGCCATACATATGTATGTACATACATATGTACAATTGATTCCGCTTTTTCAACACGGCACGACGCTTGACATTTCATAATTGCAGCCAAAGAAGTAGGACGTGTCGTATCTTTTTTAAAGTGAAAATAGCCTAAAAATTAATATGTGCATATGTGTGTATAAAAGTTAAATTAAAATTATCAAAAATATTTTACTCGTACTGCGTTTTCCTAGAATACAACAAATTAGCGCGCGCCGTTACACGCATACATATACATACATGTGCACGTAGAATGTATTAATTATTAAGTGGATTAAAATTTTCGGTTCTCAGAAACGTATGAACATACAATCAAGTGCAGCTACACACACATACATATACCACACAGTGCGTTTACCGTTGCTTGGTCGCCAATAAAGTTGAGCGTGCCCTAGCGAACACACACATGTACATTTTCAGCAACACATCTACCCACACACAGCGTGCGTTTACCGTTCCTGGCAAAGTCATAGGTAAGTAAAAAAACGTAGAAATAAATACATTTTTAAAAGTAAGAATACGGCAAAGTAGGTTTTAAATTAAATAATACATTTTTTCTTTATCATTCCTCGCAGTGGCAAACAAATACATTCTCGAACCAACATACATACATATATGCCAAATATACAAATTCCAGAACGAAGCATATAAAACTGGATAAAATATTGGAGGTTCCTGTTGAGAATAAAACCCATACTCGGCGTAAGAATGTGAAAACTTTCGATGGAGCTGAGCTTTTGAAAGCATGGCCAAAATATGCTGACTCGCGGGCTCCGGAATTGGTAATTTATATTTTTAGTCAGACTACATTCGGATTTTGTCTTTTTATTTATTTTTTTTGTGCTCTTTTGTTGTTTTCTTTCAGGTCCAAATCTTTAACCATTCATATTTTGATTGATCTCTTTAAAACGAAATCTATAATTTTCTTTTTCATCTTACTATTTATTTCGCAGATAACTTACAAAACTAATTAGTGTTTAGCTATTAAGATTGGTAATACTCTAAGATTGTTTAAAGTACTTTCTTTCGTTTATGAATTGACAACTGTGTATGTAGCGTGTAATGCTATAGAAGTTAAAACATGCAACCATTTGCAGGCATATGAATGTGGAATAATTAAAAATTAGTTCTTAAAAAACATTGAAGAGTTTTCAAGCCATCCAATGCACATGTATGTATGTATGATGTAAATGCTAAAAAATATGTTTTATACAGATCTCTGTAAAATAAATATAAGTGTAACTGTATTATTTGTACCTTCCAGCAAGCCGTAATGAAGAATAAATGTTTAAATAAAATCGAAAAAACAGAAATAAAATTTGTGTACTAATTTTTTTTAGTGTACAAAAAATATTTGAATACTTATCATATTTAATATTATAATTGGCATATTTTGAATAAATATGTCTAGTATTGAATCTTAATACGACTTATATTGAATTTTAACATTTCGGTTATTCATTTAACTATTAAAATTTTAGAATTTAATATGGTTTTTATTTATATTAAACACGTGTACTATTTAATTCAAATTTTAAAAATTTAAAATCAAATAGTCATAATATTAAATAGAAATATGCATTGTATTTAATTTAAATATGGCTTATATTTAACTTAAATATTTAAAATATTAAAATCTATTCCGAAAATATTTAAATTTAATATGGAAAAAAAGTTAATATGCGCATATTTAAATTTAATAAAAACCGCAATGGATGAAAATCAAAGCGAAAAATATTTGGGTTGAATATGAAATATTTGGATTTACTACGTTTTTTTTATCAGTGTAACCATATGCACCCGGCGCATAAATCACAGCTATAGCCATAGTGTTACTTCATATATGTACTTACGAAAAATATAAAATTGAATATGCAAAGCAAATACTTTGCACACCAGACTCCGCAGTCGAAGACCATTTTCGTTGTTTTCGAAATCTTGGGGCTGTTTTCCTCCACGGAGCTCTCTCAACTGCAATGACAAAGAGAAATTCCACGTTTTAGCACCGTGCGAGTGAGGTTTCTAATTGAATTAAAATATTTTTACTTAATTTACTTAATTTCATGTTAAGTGCCGCACACTTCGTTGGGCAGAGCACACAAAAAAAGAAAGTGTCACAAAAAAACGAGCGGCATAATAACTATATTACCAAGAAATGTAAACAAACAAGAAAAGTATTTCTAGCCAGGCTGCATTTCTTATCGACCATGTTTGTACGTGCCCCGTGCCTAACAAATTAACATGTAAAGTTGGCCGTTAAAAATTAGAGAATGCCCTTAGCAGGAAATATTTCAGATAAAAAGAAAGCCCAATTTGAAATACCTCGAAATATGTATTCAAGAACACCTTAACCAAATATAAATATATTCATTTGGTTTATATTTATTTTAGTTCATAATATCCTACTGTTTATAATGGAACCACCTTTTTCAAAATTTGTAACTATAAAAAGTGTTACCTTTCTCTTATTAAAAATGCATTCTTTTAGTTTCTATATAAATGTTTTTGGTCATTTAAACCAGTTCCTTAACAAGTCGTAAATGCTTTAAAAATGTAAATTAATTACGGTTTTAGTGGACGCTTAAAAACAACGCCTGTCGTCATCAGATTAGAATGGTATGGTAATTCCAAGAGCAACTAAAAAATTGTTCAATTAAATTACAAGCTTTCGTTCATTCATTAATCCATTGAGTCGGCGGGAATCTCAATTCCCAGCATCTCGTTCCACGTAAACTTTCTCATTAGCAGTAGAACAGCTTCCCTGCCGCTTTCCCGCTTTTCCCTCTAATATCATACCATCCCATCTTAGCACTTTTCTTTTCAGATGCTGCTGCTGCTGGCAGCTGGTTTTAGCCAAGTTCTCAGCTGTACATGTGTGCGTAGTTATTTGGGTAAATATATACGTTTGTATGTAGATATATACACACAAACAATGTCACGAGCTATTGAAGTTGGAAAAGTAGAGCACTCGGCAGCGGAGCTAAGCCCTCAGTTTCTCAGTCGAGTTTCGATGCTGTTCTGTTGCCAAGTCGCGGCGACTGGCAAACATTTTCCTTGCCAACAATTTTGTTCTCATTCTATTGCTGGTCCCTTTGAGCCCGGTAAAAGCTGTGAACCCCATCCCCCGATGCTCCCCTAATGATGTTTTGGCCGAAATGTAATTGTGTTCGCACACCCACACAGCCGCGGTCAAAAAAATAGCACTTAAGATGTCAATTTACTGGTTAGGCAGGTTAAAAAAACGTTTATAAAGCCAGCGTAAACCGCATTAGACTATTAAGTTAGTTAAGAGATGGCTGTCCTTGTCAAAATATAGTAAATTAAACGTTTTTCAGTTATATTCAGTGGAGTATTAATTATTTATTTTTATTAGATCGAACTTGTTATAAAATGGCCAGTATGGGGTGACTTTATTTTTTAGCACTTCGTTAATATTTCAGATTACCCAATAATATGCAAAATTGGTTTTACCAAACTTAATCAATTTTACAAGATTATTAGAAAATGTAATTAAAACCAACTTTATTTTATATTTAAAAACACAAATCAAGTATTTGGAACAAACGGATAGGTTTGTAAAATGTGTGAAAAATGTTTACTGATTCCAATGCTATTATTTCAACCTTAGGTTTTAACCCACTGAGGTACTGAGTGCATGAAGTACTTGAATGCAAAACGCTCTAGGGGCCCACATTTACATACACACATAAGCCGAGTTTATGTGGGCACCACATTCCCTACTTTTTCCTTTTCATTCCCCGCAAAACCCTTCAACTCGACAAAAGTTTATCAAATTTTTAATTGCTTTTCCATTGTTTTAGACATAGAACGACGTTATGGCTTTAAATTAGTTTAAATTTTCTGCTGATAGCACATGCAAATGACTGCCTAACGGATGTGCATAGAGTGCTTAATGGTTGTGACATTGAATTTATAATATGGGCTTAGCCCAAAAACACCGTATTGTTTACGAATATTGACGCTAAAGTCATTTGTTTGCCAGAGGTTTAAAGTCAGAGATGTCGTATTATAATATGTATTTTTATATGCACTCTAATTTGAATATTGTCCCAGGGGATTTCGATTTGCATAAAGCGAAACCGGCTGGCTTGATAACAAAGCAAAGCCAAAGCTTAAAAAAATGCTATAATAAAGAAATAAATATCTCTACTTGCAGTAAATGCTGTACATTCTCATCTTTAAAATCAAAATTTAATTACATTAATTTAACGAATATTTACGAGACGTTTATTCAACTCTTTTACAACTTCGATTCTGATTTTATCTGACAACGTTTCAACCTTTGCCCTTATCTATTCATTAATGCTGCAGTTCGACTCTAAGCTTTAATTAATTCTCTGTCTGAGTGGAAAAGCGGAAAAGCTTCCAGCAGCCACCCACTAAGCCGCCACTGCTGGTTTCTCGTTACCCTGAGCCCATATAAAATTCAAAAGCTTGCCATTAGCCCAAACACACACTCTTGCCCGGCTACATGGCTAACACACACACGTGCAGGGGACCAAATCTTGTAATTAACTTTCAAGTAGCCCATGCAAAATATTGGCAAAAATTCAGCAAGCTCAGCATCAGCATTTCATCTAACTCAAATATTAAGTCTCGAGATCTACTTGTGTACGCTGCAAACTCATATATCTAATGAAGAAAATATCACAAACTCATAAAACAAATATGAATTAGCTTTAATATTGTCAGGAGAAACGCTTAAGTTACTTTTCTGTCTTTTTAAATTCACAAAAATACCTACCTTACTATATTTATTTGAAACTGAACTATGGAAAATATTCTAACTTAAAGCCAACCCAATTAAGATAGATACTATCATGTAGATAGCATTTATTATAAATTAGATTATTGAATATATTCGTGGGCTGGCACGAGTGCTTTATACAGGTAAAATAATATTTTTCCTTGTGGGCAGAGATCGATTTACATGTCGTTCAAAGCTTTTTCATATATATATATACCCGTAGCAATAAATATAATAAAAAATGGCAGAAAATCCGCCAAATAAATTGCAAATTTATGGGCTTTGCAGCTGACTTGCATTCGGATTTTGATACGGTCTTTGTTTATTATTTGCGTAATTAAATGCTTGCACATGCTCGTACAGCATTTTTTAACCATAGAAAGTTTTGTTTCACCGGCTGCTGTGGAAGTGGAAGTCTAGGGAGCCCGACAGCTCTCCAAACAATGCACATTTTTTTCGGCATCGCGGCGGTGATTAAAGCATTTTCCATTGCAAAAAGGAAATTCGAGCGGGTCTCAATTGTGAGACTGGAAGTCATTTTCTTGTTGTGCCAACCGACTCTTTTTTTTCTTCTGCAGCAGGTCGACGTCAAAATGGGTTAAAGAAAGTCGTAACTTGTATTAATTAAAAAAAAGTTAAGGGGCACAACGCAAAAAAAAAAAAGTTAAGAGGAGGCAAGAGCTGCGCTTGAACCGAAAAGGCTGTCAAAACCTTTGGCCATAACTTTTCGAGCGATGAGATAGATGTTATTTCCCCATTCCAATCCCAGTTGCACTCTCACACAAACATGTGTGTGTACACACACTTGTCACGTTCGCTGACTTGCCAAGAATTTAGAAATTTTATTTATTGCCAATGCTTTCTGTTTCCCATTTTTCTTGCCACTTCGATTCTGATTCCCATCTGGAGATGGGAAAATGGGAAATGTGTGTTGAGGGAAAACTCATCACGCTGGAAACCAAAAGTGCCACAGAACCACAGAACCACTTTTCTATCTGTCAAAGCGTGAGAAATTCTCTGTTCGCCGTTGCTCATCTTTATAGCTGCGGTTTCCCCCACCCAAAACTCCCCAGATGGGTAATTAAATTATGGAGTAATAAGCCTCAATTGGGTCACCGCACTCTCCAAACAGTACTTAAATGCAGGTGGGTGGCTCAGGCTGAGGAACACCCATCCACCCGTTCCCTCAAGATCTTAAGTTTGCATATGAGAGTGGATTTCAAGTTGCCTGGTGTGTGGGAACTACTTAGTCTTAAATGGCTGAGCTAAGAGGCATTTTAATGCCTAAATCTGCTTGGGGTGCTTGATAAAATATGCCTGATCGGATAATAACATATTTAATTAAATCACTATTTAAACATTATTAAGTATTTTAGGAATCCTTTATATTTCCAGTTTCTTATTTGAAGCTAAATATGCTATCAGCTCATCAGATTATTATCATGATAAAGTTGTCCTGTAGTACTTATATTTCAACAAGTTTGCCTTAATTAATCAATTTATTTAAAGCTGGTTTTTACTTCAA